CTTGATGTTCATTCATTGTCTTTCTAATATTTTTCTTGCAAATTCTAACCAGTTGTGTCTGATTTCAACCTGCAAGTTTAATACTCTTTAGCCCCCCACCCAACCCACCCCTTGCCTTTTTTTTTAACTTTCTCTCATGATCTAGTCTCTCTGTTGAGTCTCTGTGTGTCTGTCTATCCTGCTCTGTCTAGTTTCCACCCAGACAAAGTCTAGCCTTTTCTGTAATTGCCTCTCTTACGCTGTCTAGTCTTTCGCATGTAACTTTCATACTGTGTCTTGTTTCCCCCTGTAACTTTCTCTCATGCCTTGTCTAGTCTTTCCTGTAACTTTCTCTCAAACTCTATTCAATCTCGCCCTAGTAACTTTCACACTAACTGTCACGTCTGCTCCTCTATCTCCCTCTCTCTCTCTGTAACTCCCGCGCTTCTCTAATACTCAGCTTCAATCGGCGATGGCGGCCTCGCGCTCACTGAGTCTTCGGAAAGTCACATGGCTTTGTAATCTGAAGTTTTTTTTTTCCTGTAGACGACATACACGATCAGGCAGACGACGAAGAGGCCGGCACTGGCGCCTGCACCTGCGAAAAAAGTCCCCACACTAAAGGAACTGCCCTTGTTTCCAGCCTCGGTAGTTGACGCCGTGTTCCTTGTGGTGGCACTGTGAGCAGACGTAGGGCCTCTAGACGTGGATGTCACGTTGGAATTTTGAGTAGAAACGGAGGAACTAGTAGTGTTATTGTTGGGGGTGGTGCTGACGTTTTGGGGTTGGGTACTGTTAGAAAAAGGAGTCGAGTTGGTGGTGTTGCTAGCTGGCTTTGTTGATGGGGTAGTTGGAGTCGATTTTGCTGTGCTGACTGTAGTCGGTGGCGTGGTTATTGTATTCACCGTGGTAGTTTGCCTGACTGTGCTGGTCGATGAATTGAAAGTGCTTGCTGGAAAAATCAGTGAACAAACATGTACTGTAGACAGCTAATACAAGTTAGAACAAGTGAACAATCGTGTACTGTAGACAGCCAATACAAGTTAGAACACGTGAACAAACATGTACTGTAGACAGCTAATACAAGTTAGAACAAGTGAACAAACATGTACTGTAGACACCTAATACAAGTTAGAACAAGTGAACAAACATGTACTGTAGACAGCTAATACAAGTTAGAACACGTGAACAAATATGTACTGTAGACAGCTAATACAAGTTAGAACACGTGAACAATCATGTACTGTAGACAGCTAATACAAGTTAGAACAAGTGAACAAACATGTACTGTAGACAGCTAATACAAGTTAGAACAAGTGAACAAACATGTACTGTAGACAGCTAATACAAGTTAGAACAAGTGAACAAACATGCACTGTAGACAGATAATACAAGTTAGAACAAGTGAACGAATATGTACTGTAGACAGATAATACAAGTTAAAACAAGTGAACGAATATGTACTGTAGACAGCTAATACAAGTTAGAACAAGTGAACAAACATGCACTGTAGACAGCTAATACAAGTTAGAACAAGTGAACAAACATGCACTGTAGACAGCTAATACAAGTTAGAACAAGTGAACGAATATGTACTGTAGACAGCTAATACAAGTTAGAACAAGTGAACAAACATGTACTGTAGACAGCTAATACAAGTTAGAACAAGTGAACAAACATGTACTGTAGACAGCTAATACAAATTAGAACAAGTGAACAAACATGTACTGTAGACAGCTAATACAAGTTAGAACAAGTGAACGAATATGTACTGTAGACAGATAATACAAGTTAGAACAAGTGAACGAATATGTACTGTAGACAGATAATACAAGTTAGAACAAGTGAACAAACATGTACTGTAGACAGCTAATACAAGTTAGAACAAGTGAACGAATATGTACTGTAGACAGCTAATACAAGTTAGAACAAGTGAACAAACATGTACTGTAGACAGCTAATACAAGTTAGAACAAGTGAACAAACATGTACTGTAGACAGCTAATACAAGTTAGAACAAGTGAACAAACATGTACTGTAGACAGCTAATACAAGTTAGAACAAGTGAACGAATATGTACTGTAGACAGATAATACAAGTTAGAACAAGTGAACGAATATGTACTGTAGACAGATAATACAAGTTAGAACAAGTGAACGAATATGTACTGTAGACAGCTAATACAAGTCAGAACAAGTGAACGAATATGTACTGTAGACAGATAATACAAGTTAGAACAAGTGAACGAATATGTACTGTAGACAGCTAATACAAGTTAGAACAAGTGAACGAATATGTACTGTAGACAGCTAATACAAGTTAGAACAAGTGAACGAATATGCTGAAAAGTATGAGACATACTGCGAAACTGTGTAATATGACTGGATGAACATATTGTGTAAGATAAATGGATGAACATTTTGTGTAAGATGAATGGATGAATATATTGTGTAAGATGAATGGATGAACATATTGTGTAAGATAAATGGATAAAAATTTTGTGAAAGATGAATGGATGAAAATACTGTGAAAGATGACTGGATGAACATACTGTGTAAGATGACTGGATGAACATATTGTGTAAGATGACTGGATGAACATATTGTGTAAGATAAATGGATGAACATTTTGTGTAAGATAAATGGATGAACATATTGTGTAAGATAAATGGATGAAAATTTTGTGTAAGATAAATGGATGAACATATTGTGTAAGATGACTGGATGAACATATTGTGTAAGATAAATGGATGAACATTTTGTGTAAGATGAATGGATGAACATATTGTGTAAGATGAATGGATTAACATATTGTGTAAGATGACTGGATGAACATATTGTGTAAGATGAATGGATGAACATTTTGTGTAAAATGAATGGAGAAACATATTGTGTAAGATGAATGGATGAACATTTGTGAAAGATGAATGGAGGAACATTTTGTGTAAGATGACTAGAGGAACATATTGTGTAAGATGAATGGATGAACATTTTGTGTAAGATGAATGGATGAACATTTGTGAAAGATGATTGGAGGAACATTTTGTGTAAAATGAATGGTGGAACATTTTGTGTAAGATGACTGGATGAACATATTGTGTAAGATGAATGGATGAACATTTTGTGTAAAATGAATGGAGGAACATTTTGTGTAAGATGAATGGATGAACATTTGTGAAAGATGAATGGAGGAACATTTTGTGTAAAATGAATGGATGAACATTTGTGAAAGATGAATGGAGGAACATTTTGTGTAAAATGAACGGAGGAACATTCTGTGTAAGATGATTAGATGAACATATTGTGTAAGATGAATGGATGAACATTTTGTGTAAAATGAATGGAGGAACATTTTGTGTAAGATGACTGGATGAACATATTGTGTAAGATGAATGGATGAACATATTGTGTAAGATGAATGGATGAACATATTGTGTAAGATGAATGGATGAACATTTGTGAAAGATGAATGGAGAAACATTTTGTGTAAAATGAATGGAGGAACATTTTGTGTAAGATGACTGGATGAACATATTGTGTAAGATGAATGGATGAACATTTGTGAAAGATGAATGGATGAACATTTGTGAAAGATGAATGGATGAACATTTGTGAAAGATGAATGGATGAACATTTGTGAAAGATGAATGGATGAACATACTGTGTAAGATGAATGGATGAACATTTTGTGTAAGATGAATGGATGAACATATTGTGTAAGATGAATGGATGAACATATTGTGTAAGATGAATGGATGAACATATTGTGTAAGATGAATGGATGAACATATTGTGTAAGATGAATGGATGAACATATTGTGAAAGATGAATGGATGAACATTTGTGAAAGATGAATGGATGAACATTTGTGAAAGATGAATGGATGAACATACTGTGTAAGATGAATGGATGAACATTTTGTGTAAGATGAATGGATGAACATATTGTGTAAGATGAATGGATGAACATATTGTGTAAGATGAATGGATGAACATATTGTGTAAGATGAATGGATGAACATATTGTGTAAGATGAATGGATGAACATATTGTGTAAGATGAATGGATGAACATACTGTGTAAGATGAATGGATGAACATATTGTGTAAGATGAATGGATGAACATACTGTGTAAGATGAATGGATGAACATTTGTGAAAGATGAATGGAGGAACATTTTGTGTAAAATGAATGGATGAACATTTTGTGTAAGATGACTGGATGAACATATTGTGTAAGATGAATAGATGAACATACTGTGTAAGATGACTGGAGGAACATTTTGTGTAAGATGAATGGATGAACATATTGTGTAAGATGACTGGAGGAACATATTGTGTAAGATGAATGGAGGAACATATTGTGTAAGATGAATGGATGAACATTTTGTGTAAGATGACTGGAGGAACATATTGTGTAAGATGACTGGATGAACATTTTGTGTAAGATGACTGGAGGAACATATTGTGTAAGATGAATGGAGGAACATACTGTGTAAGATGACTAGAGGAACATATTGTGTAAGATGACTGGATGAACATAATGTGTAAGATGAATGGATGAACATACTGTGTAAGATGACTGGAGGAACATTTTGTGTAAGATGACTGGAGGAACATATTGTGTAAGATGAATGGAGGAACATATTGTGTAAGATGACTGGAGGAACATAATGTGTAAGATGACTGGATGAACATATTGTGTAAGATGAATGGAGGAACATATTGTGTAAGATGAATGGATGAACATATTGTGTAAGATGACTGGAGGAACATATTGTGTAAGATGAATGGAGGAACATACTGTGTAAGATGACTGGAGAAAGATAATGTGTAAGATGACTGAAGGAACATATTGTGTGAGATGACTAGAGGAACATATTGTGTAAGATGATTGGATGAAAATACTGTGTAAGATGAATGGAGGAACATACTGTGTAAGATGACTGGATGAACATATTGTGTAAGAGGAATGGAGGAACATACTGTGTAAGATGAATGGATGAACATATTGTGTAAGATGACTAGAGGAACATACTGTGTAAGATGACTGGAGGAACATATTGTGTAAGATGAATGGAGGAACATACTGTGTAAGATGACTGGAGGAACATAATGTGTAAGATGACTGGATGAACATATTGTGTAAGATGACTGGATGAACATATTGTGTAAGATGACTGGATGAACATATTGTGTAAGATGACTGGATGAACATATTGTGTAAGATGACTGGATGAACATATTGTGTAAGATGACTGGATGAACATACTGTGTAAGATGACTGGAGGAACATACTGTGTAAGATGACTGGAGAAACATATTGTGTAAGATGAATGGAGGAACATACTGTGTAAGATGACTGGAGGAACATACTGTGTAAGATGACTGGAGGAACATATTGTGTAAGATGAATGGATGAACATTTTGTGTAAGATGACTGGAGGAACATTTTGTGTAAGATGAATGGAGGAACATACTGTGTAAGATGAATGGATGAACATATTGTGTAAGATGAATGGAGGAACATATTGTGTAAGATGACTGGAGAAAAATTTTGTGTAAGATGACTGGAGGAACATATTGTGTAAGATGAATGGATTAACGTATTGTGTAAGATGACTGGAGGAACATATTGTGTAAGATGAATGGAGGAACATATTGTGTAAGATGACTGGAGGAACATATTGTGTAAGATGAATGGATGAACATATTGTGTAAGATGACTGGAGGAACATATTGTGTAAGATGAATGGATGAACATATTGTGTAAGATGACTGGAGGAACATATTGTGTAAGATGAATGGAGGAACATACTGTGTAAGATGAATGGATGAACATATTGTGTAAGATGACTGGAGGGACATTTTGTGTAAGATGACTGGAGGAACATACTGTGTAAGATGAATGGATGAACATATTGTGTAAGATGACTGGAGGAACATATTGTGTAAGATGAATGGAGGAACATATTGTGTAAGATGACTGGAGGAACATTTTGTGTAAGATGAATGGAGGAACATATTGTGTAAGATGACTGGAGGAACATATTGTGTAAGATGAATGGAGGAACATATTGTGTAAGATGACTGGAGGAACATATTGTGTAAGATGACTGGAGGAACATACTGTGTAAGATGACTGGAGGAACATATTGTGTAAGATGACTGGAGGAACATACTGTGTAAGATGACTGGAGGAACATACTGTGTAAGATGACTGGAGGAACATACTGTGTAAGATGAATGGATAAACTTATTGTGACAACTTTAAGACTACAAGTTTGAGAAGAAGATGGTCATAGACAGATATCGTGACAATTTGTAAGAAGGGGGAAAAAACTTGGGGGATACTGGAACACTTTGTAACATTACTGGGTTAATTTTAATGTAATGAGAAGATTTATAAAGGAGATGAGCTAGTAAACCAATGCTGGTGAGCCTGGTATCAAGAGACATAAATCCATCAGCACGTAAGCGGACCGAATCAACTACAGATAGTGGATTTGGGAGAATCATGACCCTGAACGCTAACCGATCAGGGACTGGTGATAATTACAATGAAGACGATTATGATCATGTCGAAAAATTTACAATGTGACGAACATAAAACTGGCTTATTATATTTGATACGGCGAAACATAATCTTCTTTAGTACTGTAGTAGTAGTGACACATGTGGTAGAAGTAGTAGTAGTAGTAGTAGTAGTAGTAGTAGTAGTAGTAGTAGTAGTAGTAGTAGTAGTAGTAGTAGTAGTAGTAGTAGTAGTAGTAGTAGTAGTCGAAGTAGTCGTAGTAGTAGTAGCCGCAGCAGCAGGAGTAGTAGTAGTAGTAGTAGTAGTAGTAGTAGTAGTAGTTGTTGTTGTTGTTGTTGTTGTTGTTGTTTTAGTAGTAGTAGTAGTACTCGTAGTAGTAGCAGTAGTAGTAATAGAAGAAGTAGTAGCAGTAGTAGTAGTAGTAGTAGTAGTAGTAGTAGTAGTAGTAGTAGTAGTAGTAGTAGTAGTAGTAGTAGTAGTAGTAGTAGTAGTAGTAGTAGTAGTAGTAGTAGTAGTAGTAGTAGTAGTAGTAGTAGTAGTAGTAGTAGTAGTAGTAGTAGTAGTAGTAGTAGTAGTAGTAGTAGTAGTAGTAGTAGTAGTAGTAGTAGTAGTAGTAGTAGTAGTAGTAGTAATAGCAATAGTAGTAAGAGTAGTAGTAACAGTAGTAGTAGTAGTAGTCGTAGAAGTAGTAGTAATAGAAAGAGTAGTCGTAGTTGTAGTAGTAGTAGTAGTAATAGTAGTAGTAGTAGGAGTAGGAGGAGGAGCAGCGGCAGCAAAAAAAGTAATAGTAATTTTAGGAATTGTATTACTAAAAGCACTTGTAGGTTTAATAGTAATAGCTGTAATATTAACAGTAGTAGCTGTAATATTAACAGTAGTAGCTGTAATGGTAACAGTAGTAGCTGTAATATTAACAGTAGTAGCTGAAATAGTATCAGCATTAGATGTAATAGTAACAGTAGTAGCTGTAATAGTAACATAAGTAGCCATAATATTAACACTAGTAGCTGTAATAGTAGCAGTAATAGCTGTAATATTACCAGAAGTAGCTGTAATATTAACAGTAGTAGCTGTATTTGTAACAGAAGTAGCTGTAATATCAACAGTAGTAGCTGTAATAGTAACAGAAGTAGCTGTAATATTAACAGTAGTAGCTGTATTTGTAACAGAAGTAGCTGTAATATCAACAGTAGTAGCTGTAATAGTAACAGAAGTAGCTGTAATATTAACAGTAGTAGCTGTAATAGTAACAGAAGGAGCTGTAATATCAACAGTAGTAGCTGTAATAGTAACAGAAGTAGCTGTAATATTAACAGTAATAGCTGTAATAGTAACAGAAGGAGCTGTAATAGTAACATAAGTAGCCTTAATATTAACACTAGTAGCTGTAATAGTAACAGAAGGAGCTGTAATATCAACAGTAGTAGCTGTAATAGTAACAGAAGTAGCTGTAATATTAACAATAGTAGCTGTAATATTAACAGTAGTCGCTGTAATAGTAACAGTAATAGCTGTAATAGTAACAGTAATAGCTGTAATAGTATCAGTAGTAGCTGTAATAATAACAGAAGGAGCTGTAATAGTAACTGTAGTAGCTGTATTGGTAACAGAAGTAGCTGAAATGTTAACAATAGTAGCTGTAATAGTAACCGAAGGAGCTGTAATAGTAACATAAGTAGCCATAATATTAACACTAGTAGCTGTAATAGTAGCAGTAATAGCTGTAATAGTAACAGAAGGAGCTGTAATAGTAACAGAAGTAGCTGTAATAGTAACAGTAGTAGCTATAATAGTAACAGTAGTCGCTGTAATAGTAACAGTAGTAGTGATGGAGGTAGTAGTAGTAAACGCTATAGTAGTTTTGGTAGTTGCTATGGGGGTACTAGTACTAGGGAATGATGGCGGTGGTAGCAGCAGCTGCAGTAATAATAATAATAATAATAATAATAATAATAATAATAATAATAATAATAATAATAATAATAGCAGTAGTAGTAGCAGCACCAGTTGTTTTTGTTGTTATTTTTGTTGTAAAACAGATTGTAGCTTAATAACTGTCACGTAGTAGTGGTATAGTACTTTTAAGAGCAGTGGTAGTGCTAAATGTAGCATTTGTGGTTGCGCAAAAAGAGGAAGGAAGAAAGACAGAAAGAAAGAAAGAAAGAAAGAAAGAAAGAAAGAAAGAAAGAAAGAAAGAAAGAAAGAAAGAAAGAAAGAAAGAAAGAAAGAAAGAAAGAAAGAAAGAAAGAAAGAAAGAAAGAAAGAAAGAAAGAAAGAAAGAAAGAAAGAAAGAAAGAAAGAAAGCACAAAAAAGTGAGATGTTAAAGTCGACAACATAAATATAACGTATCTGACCTTGTGTAGTTGCAGTTGTCTGAGAATTGACCTGAGACCACAACACGGCAGCCATCACAACCATAAATGTCGTCTTCATCTTCTGTTGTTTTTTGTTTAAGACTAAACTCGGTTCTTCGTTCACAACAAAATTCGTCTCAGGCAGATCTGAAGTCGAAAACTACACTGTTGTGTTGAGTCTAATAAATCAGTATTGACTCCGTATTGTCCCAGACTCCAGGATTGTAATCTTTGGCTTTGCATTTTTATTGATATTACTTATCGCCAAAGATAAAGGGTCATGTTTGAAGGTTTCGAAAATGAAGGTTGGCCAGTTTGTGATAACAGAAGATGTTTCAAGTGAAGATAGTAAATTGATACATTAGGTGATGGTTAAAGTTAACCTTTGAATAGATATTGCCAGTTTGACGTAGCTTATTGTTTTTTTTTTCTATACATAGTCTCTTTCCAGTTGTTGGGCAAACGGGTGGATGTTATATTGTGAATATTGTTTAGTTGGTCTTTTTCGGCGTGGTTACCGGTGCAGTAGCTGCTTTAATCCATCTTTGTCAGGAAGGTTCAGTTTAAGATAAAACAGACAGACAGACAGACAGACAGACAGACAGACAGACAGACAGACAGACAGACAGACAGACAGACAGACAGACAGACAGACAGACAGACAGACAGACAGACAGACAGACAGACAGACAGACAGACAGACAGACAGACAGACAGACAGACAGACAGACAGACAGACAGACAGACAGACAGACAGACAGATAGATAGATAGATAGATAGATAGATAGATAGATAGATAGATAGATAGATAGATAGATAGATAGATAGATAGATAGATAGATAGATAGATAGATAGATAGATAGATAGATAGATAGATAGATAGATGGATGGATGGATGGATGGATGGATGGATGGATGGATGGATGGATGGATGGGTGGATGGATGGATGGATGGATGGATGGATGGATGGATGGCTAGATAGCTACAAGAAAGGGCCTTGTCTACAAGAATGGGCCTTGTCTACAAGAATGGGCCTTGCCTACAAAAAATGGGTCTTGCCTACAAGAATGGGCCTTGCCTACAAGAATGGATCTTGTCCACATGAATAGGACTTACTGACCGAAATTGGACTTCCTTCAGGATGGGTCGTGTCTACAGGACTAGGTCTTGTCTACAGGAATGGGACTTGCTGACCGGAATGGAACGTTTTTGGAATAGTCTTGTCTACAGAACTAGGTCTTGTCTACAGGACTAGGTCTTGTCTACAGGACTAGGTCTTGTCTACAGAACTAGGTCTTGTCTACAGAACTAGGTCTTGTCTACAGGACTAGGTCTTGTCTACAGAACTAGGTCTTGTCTACAGAACTAGGTCTTGTCTACAGGACTAGGTCTTGTCTACAGAACTAGGTCTTGTCTAAAGGATTAGGTCTTGTCTACAGGATTAGGTCTTGTCTACAGAACTAGGTCTTGTCTACAGGACTAGGTTTTGTCTACAGAACTAGGTCTTGTCTACAGAACTAGGTCTTGTCTACAGAACTAGGTCTTGTCTACAGAACTAGGTCTTGTCTACAGGACTAGGTCTTGTCTACAGAACTAGGTCTTGTCTACAGGATTAGGTCTTGTCTACAGGATTAGGTCTTGTCTACAGAACTAGGTCTTGTCTACCAGTGTCTACAGGACTAGGTTTTGTCTACAGAACTAGGTCTTGTCTACAGAACTAGGTCTTGTCTACAGAACTAGGTCTTGTCTACAGGACTAGGTCTTGTCTACAGAACTAGGTCTTGTCTACAGAACTAGGTCTTGTCTACAGAACTAGGTCTTGTCTACAGAACTAGGTCTTGTCTACAGAACTAGGTCTTGTCTACAGAACTAGGTCTTGTCTACAGGACTAGGTCTTGTCTACAGAACTAGGTCTTGTCTACAGATTTAGGTCTTGTCTACAGAACTAGGTCTTGTCTACAGAACTAGGTCTTGTCTATAGAACTAGGTCTTGTCTACAGGACTAGGTCTTGTCTACAGAACTAGGTCTTGTCTACAGAACTAGGTCTTGTCTACAGAACTAAGTCTTGTCTACAGAACTAGGTCTTGTCTACAGGACTAGGTCTTGTCTACAGAACTAGGTCTTGTCTACAGAACTAGGTCTTGTCTACAGAACTAGGTCTTGTCTACAGAACTAGGTCTTGTCTACAGGACTAGGTCTTGTCTACAGAACTAGGTCTTGTCTACAGAGCTAGGTCGTGTCTACAGGACTAGGTCTTGTCTACAGAACTAGGTCTTGTCTACAGAACTAGGTCGTGTCTACAGGACTAGGTC